GGTTTACAATTCCCATACACAAGCTTGTATTTACTTTCTTATATATTGTGCTTGTGTAGTTGCACTTGTAATTAGTTAGCTTTGTGTAGCTTGCTAGTTACCTTCTTACTTGTGTAGCATAGTGGTAGCTCCCTTGCGTAACTAATTTGGCTTGAGTAGCCTCGTTAGTTACTTTGCTTAGTTTGGGTAGCTAAGTATTTTGAGCTCTCTAATTTGGCTTGAGTAGCCTTGTTATTGAGGATTGCTAGTGAGCTTAGGCTTTGTGCTTTTGCATACTAGTTTGTGTAGGAGCTCCCCCGTTGCTTGAGTACTAGTGGCATAGGTTTATGTGACATTGTTCCTAGAATTGTTTAGGTGAGCTCTAGCTAGCGTGACACCTTTATTGCCTAATTAGGATCTTTTTAAGGTGCTTGAGAACTTAGATAAAGGGGTGTAGTCTTGGCTAGACCGATAGTTTTAATTCCACATATATCTCGGTTAGCCGGTGATTTAATTTTTAGAAAGGACTATTCACCCCCTCTAGTCCGCCATCTCGACCCTACAGGTAGCTGGTTGCCTACACTCATGGATGACCAATGTTCATCATTTGATGAAGATGAAGGTTGGATGCTTGTGTGGTATCACCGACATGGAGATGGAATGGAACGGAATGTATAAGCAAAGGTGTATTTGTAGGGCATTTCATTTCACCGGTCTAAGGCTGAGTAGAGAAGTGCTTCATCAAGTTTAGGATAGATAGCCATACTATCAAGATGGACATTCTTGTTAGCTAATCGGTTATCTTGTGCTACTAGGTGAGATCTAACACATGGTGCATTTAAATCGAGTGACGAGGAAAGGAACAAGATCAAAACCTTTGAAAATGCTTTAGAAAATACTAACTTAGTGCTAAAGGAGTTGTTGTCACGTTGATCAACATTTGTGGAGTTAGCATATTTGAAAAAGGGTTTCAAACAGAGCTCGGAGGAGTGTCTTTGTAGGCAGTAGAATAGTCTGATGCTGGTCTGTAGAGACCACCAAAGAAAGTAGTTAGTGTCCTACCCTGTGTTATTTACTATGTTGGGGAGGCACTGGATTTCCTATGGTGCTGGCTGGCACCGCATCGGAGAATGCGGCCCCTAGGTTGATACGTGGTGGAGAATTCAAATGATTAGGGTGCATTCTCCGGTGCCAGGCTTTGGAGTTTTCTAGTGAGGGGCTGAACCCCTCGGCTTGCCCAGCAAATAGCTTATGGGGCCACTGACAAGTCCGGTGGTTGCCTAGTTGTCTCCGTCAGAGAAAGCGATCACCATGGCCAGTTTAACAGAGAGCACGTAGGCCTCACTGGATTAGTTCAGTGGGCACCGGATAAAAGGAGCTCCAATGGTCAAGTGACCGTTTAAATGTGACCATTGGATGACTGACAGGTGTCAGACCCTTTTCTCTAGTGGTCTTCTCCGGTGGTTCAACGTAATTTCCGGTGCTCCCAAAAAAAACTGCAACAAGGCTGCAACCGCTAGTTTGGCTTGTGGGCTTATAAATAGAGGGGTGGCCGGCTCATTTTGAGCTTGCTAGAGCCAAGGGGTCGCACCCACATCTAAAGGAGCCAAAGTTAGACCTCTACTCACATATTCATAGTTGAGATTGTGATTCGTGGTGAGATTGGAGTGATCTAGTGCATTTACTTGAGAGAGATAACACCTAGTGGCACTATGGGCTAGTTAGCAAGCTTGAGGACTTGATACTCTTGGAGACTGCCACCTCCTAAACGGCTCTGTGGCAAGAGACTCCGTTGAAGCATGAAAGAAGGTGAGCGGTGCTCCGAAGAGAGCAATTGTAAGGGCTCTTGTGCTCGTCCCCTCGAGAGATCACGAAGAGCAACTCTAGTAGAAGCGAGGTGTGAAAAGCGCCAAGTGGTCCGGGAGGGTCAAGTGCTAGTGCTCACATTGGGAGCTCACCTTGAGGGCGAATTGCAAGCTTTAGTGTTTAATACCTAGCAAGAGGGCCTGCACCAACCTTGGGCTTGCCTCAACGGGGACACCAAACATCGAGATAAAAATCATTATGTCAACATTTGTATCCCGCTCAGTTTCCATCCTTTAAACACTAGCTATTTACTTGCAATATCTTGTGCTAGTGTTGTTGCTCTCTAGTGCTTGTGTAGCTCTAGTAGTAGTGCTTACTAGTGTAGCTAGTTTTAGTGTTTATCTTTGCTCATTAGTATGTGTAGGAGCTCCCATGTGCTTGCTTGAGTTTAGTTGCTTCCTTACAAAACTAGACTTGTGTAAGTGAGCTCTCACTAGTTCGGCACCTTAGTTATACCTTGTGTAGGATTTTTTATAAGGTGCTTGAAATATTAGACGATAGAGGAGTGAAGTCATGGCTAGACGATTAGTTAATTCCATATTTGCTTTGGCTAGCCTAGAGATTAGTTTTAGAAATGACTATTCACCCCCCTCTGGTTCTAGAATAAAATGTTTTGTGTTTGGAGTTTAGTTGGGTGAATAAAACCAGTAAGAAACATGCAGGAAGAATGAATGAAAAAAAAATGATACCCATTGCAACGCAAGTGTATGATTGCTAGTTTAAATTCAAGATTGAACTTGCACATAGATAATAAAATATTTTTTTGACATGTATACCTGCTTTAACTGTTTGAGATTAAAACGAATTGAACTTTATCGAGAGCCCTTTTGCATACCGTCGAATCTTAAATGGTCTTAAATGGATGTTGTCCGATTGAGTAATCCTGAATCACATGTTGCAGTGAACTGCTGGAACAGGCAGGTGATGGTACAACAGGTGGCAATAGTGCCATTGGATATGCAGGGAGCTAATGTACTCCACAACGTTGTGCTGCCAGAAAACTAAAAATGAGCCCCTACATTAAAAAAGGAGTCGCTCTTCCCATGCCACAGCATGAGGCATCACTCCTAGACTCACCATGTGTTTGTTTTCTCTCTCCATGTTTCTTCAGCACGCATGTTCCAACTCCTCTTTTTCCATTATCTAAAAAAAATGTTCCAACTCCTCTGCTTGCTATGTACTGCGTGAGTTAGAACCCAAGCCTAGACTTACATTGTTCCCATTTTTTTTCAACACCACTTGAATTTAGCATCACGTGTTGTAGTGGTGAAAGTGATGCCTAAAACAATATCTCTCGGCTTTAGGCATCATTGGAGACACACACTGTGGAGGGTCTAAGGACAAGGAGGGCTGTCATTCCATAAGGTGGGGTCAATGCCTCGGTCGTCTAGGGGAAGTCAAGGGGGGAAAAAGAAGATGATGCTCTGTCAATGAACTAGCTTGCGACAACTGCAGTTGCAGCCGCAAGTAGGGCAGTCGAGCAGAGCTAAACATACTCTTGCCACCATGGCCTACATGGAGAGGAGTAGCTTTTGGCAATCACATACTCACATCCATACATTTATTTTGACACTTTTCCTAAAAGGCATGCACCTGAAATCTGCTTTTGATTTAGGTGACGACGTCATCCTTTGATCTTGCTTCAAGATTCGTACATCATTTGTGTCAATTCAGGTCATAATTTTGTAATTGTCTTACTATAGAGAGAATCTTTTATTGTTAATTGTCTTTATGTTGATTTAGATCATAATTTTGTAATTGTCTTACTATAGAAATAATTGTTTATTGTTAGTTTTCTTTGTGTGAATTTAGACCTGTTAGATCTTCATCTGATGGCTCACAGCCATTGCCTGAATGGATGTTATTTTTCAGGCACCTGGAAAATAGCAAATCCCTTATTTCGAAACTTGTTTGTGCCTTTTGATTTTAAAATATTTTCATACTGTTAAAATTAACCTAAACCTTCTAAAATACATTGCAAGTATGGTTCATGTTAGGACTCGTCAAATGTGGCCTTAATTTGGGTCAGGCCCGAAACTGGTCTGTTACTAATGAAGTAATGATAGGTAATACGATCCACTTAGTTTTCTTAGAGGTGGGGCATTGCCAAATGGTGTACAAATTACCCTCAAATTTTAAGTATTTGGTTAGGGAAAATTCCCAATAAAGAAACAAAAAATTAATCTGAGAAGGATACGAAATTGGATAGGAAAACAATCTGTAACAAACTAGGATACTTAAACACACAAATTGGTCAGGCTGTTCTCTGCTTTGTTTAGAAATTGCTTGTGTGTAAGCAATGATGCTACATAATTCTATCTGCTCTTGTTAAGTTGAAACACAAAATTAGGTTAAGATGTTATGATGCAGAAACGGATCAGATCTTGTCTTGGGCTGCTATTAGACAATTTCTTTGAGCCTTGGCATCGCCTATGGAAGTCGTGGGCCCCGGCCAAATGCAAAATGTTTCTGTGGTTGGCAATATGAAACTGGTGTTGGACAGAAGATAGGCTTTGCTAAGAGGGGCCCTCTCTCATCCAAAATAGATGAGACAATACAACACCTTTTAACATGTGTTGTGGCAAGATAGGTATATATATATATATATATATATATATATATATATATATATATATATATATATATATATATATATATATATATATGGTTCAGATTGCTCAAGAGTTGGACCTAACAGATTTAGTACCCCGACAAAACGAAATGAGCTTTGTAGATTGGTGGCATAACACGATAAGAGTTAAAAACGAGCACAAAAAAAGAGTGAACACTCTAATTATGCTCGACGCCTGGATTATTTGAAAATATAGAAATGCTTGTGTGTTTGAGGAGGCTTCTCCTTGGGTTAACACGATTTTGTGTGAGCTGAAGGACCGTAGCACAGCTTATGGTGCATGGTTAGTGCAAAGAAAATGCATGGGCTAGGTCTTACTTTTGCAATCTAGGGCAGTTGGGTAGGTTGAGTCGTGTGTGTTCGCTATGTGCAAGAGTTCTGAGTTTGTATAATTGCCTTACTCATATTTGGTCCTCGTATGAGTGTGGATCCTATTGAGGACCACTCCATCTCTCTAATACAATGAAACAAAAACGAATAGAAAAAAAGGATTTTCTAAGAAAAAGAAATATAGGCGACTTACCTCTCTTGTATTGACATATGGAATATGATGAATGGAAAGTGTTTGAATAATGTTGTTTGTTTCTTCTTCTGGTGGAAGTTCAAGAAACGGTATAGTCAGTTTTTCCAATCTGGTCATTTTGCACAGAGTTGACTTCAAGTCATTATCAATGGTGTTCAAGCCATCCAATTCTAGCTCCTCTAGAGATGTGAATAGAAGCAACAGTCGAGGAATAAGACTCCTTTCGCAGTCTGTTATCTTGAGTTTCCGAAGGGTTCCAGAACCAGACTCCTTTTTGCACGTCCTGGAACGGAACTCCTGTCCATACCCATACCTTCTGGAAGGAGACCCATGTTCCTCCATTTCCTCGTACAAATCGAACCCCCATCCGTACCTTTGCATGCCAATGATAATTAGTTCATCCATGTTGTTCTCTGTAACTTCCATCCATTGCTCAACGTCATCTAGCGAACACCCATTAATACAAATTTTTGATTTGAATGTGGGAGTCCAATGCAACATACCATGCACATCTAGATCAAGGCTGGGGCTGCTACCCTTGATGAAGTACTCTTTACACAGTGGGACATATGGAAAGAGTTTTAGTTGCTTGCAGCTTTCTATTTTCAAATAATCAAGCACAGGGACTGCTGGTTGTTCTCTTCTTTCTTCATTAGATGGGCCTGGGGGTAGTGCCGGCCTGCTTGTAACTGCCGATGAGCCATTTCCAGAACCAATGTCCTGCGTTCTCTTTATTTTTCTCGACATGCCATGCCATAGAGCTTTCAGTTTCAGAAAACCCTTACCCTTTCTTTTCACTGGTTTACCTACAGGAAGAGAATTGTCAATCTCCTTTCCTGTTTCTATCTCTTCCTCATCACGGTTATGAATTAATCCCACCTCATTGACTTGTGCTTGTGTGTTGTCATCATAAAATATATGTATAGTGGCGTTGACTCGCAGTCTAACCAATGTCAATTTTCTTAGCTTCTTGCATGATACAATTTCCACATGATGAAGCAGGGGCATATTATTAATTTCCAGTTCCTGTAGATTTGGTAAATGTCCCAGTTTAGGAATATGATCACATCCATTGAGTTCGGAGAATACAATTTTCACCAGATACGGAAGTGTATCACTTATCTCATTAATCCATTTGGGAAATCCGTCACCATTGTAGCCTTTTATAGAGAGGCGCCTTAAATTTTGATGGGGCCTCAAATGTTCCAGCACTGCCTTGGCCTGAGCTCGATGCTCACCCTCAATAGAAGATCCTGTATCGGACCATTCAAGACTCAAGAAATGAAGTTGTTGCTTCCTGCCCAGTTCCACTTGCTTTGCTTCCTCTGGTGAAACCACATTCTCAAGGCATTTGATGTTTAGCTGATGTTGTGTGAGATCCAGGATGTGCTGGAGAAGCATAATATTGCTGTGGTTGTCACCGGGTTGTGTCCGTACATCAAAATTGGGCAAGGTTAGAAGGTCTACTAATCTTGCTCTTGAAATGCCTTGCTCCGAGAAGAGTGTGAACCCTCCAACTGACAGGTACCTAAGATGAACCAAATGTTGTGTGATGATATGCTCGTGCAGCATACATAGCTGTAGTTGTTTATTGTGATCTTCTGAACTCTCTGCATTTCCCGCAGAGGTTCCGGGAGCTTCAGAATATGCTTTTGCACCCACCCCAGTGAGATTTAGGTACTCCAACTTATTACCTAATTTCCAGTGCGGAATCAAATTTAGAAAGTTCTGAATTCGAGAACAACCTGATAGATTTAAACACCGGAGCTCAAAAAGACTAGTACAGGTATCCGGAAGGGCAGCCAGATTAGTACAATCTGATAAGTCCAGAATCTCCAACATCTGACAGCTAGCATCATTCTCACAAACTTCAGGAAGAACTTCAAGAGAGGTACAGCCAGACAAATTCAAGACTAGAAGCTTCTTCATGCGCTTAAATAACCCACTAGGCAGTTCTTTCAACTGGTGGCAGAAGGACATATTTAGATGTATCATATTTGTAAGGCAATTGAAAGAATCAGGCAGCCCATGAAGTTCGGAACAATGCAATAGATTGAGAAACGAAAGACTCTGAAGGCCACCAAAATATTGAGGCAGCGTTTGAAGCTGAGAACAATGTGAAAGGTCGAGGAATGCAAGTTTCCGAAGCTCCCCAAACTCTTCAGGCAGCGATTGTAGGCTACCACATCTTGATACGTTCAGGTGTAGTAGCTCTTTGAGTTTATGAATGCCATGTGGCAGCTCTTTAAGATTTGAGCAGCCATGTAGGTCCAAATATTGTAGGTTGACAAATTCAGAAATGTAACTGGGAAGTTCAACAAGGAAAGTATTTTCAGAAAGGTTCAATGCTTGTAAACCATGCAATGAGCTCAGGGACCCCGGCAGCTGGCCAGTTTGCATTCAAGATATATTCAAGAACTTCAGAAGTCTCAAGTTGCCGATAGAATCAGGTAGACAGGAAATAGTACATGCACTCAAATCCAGCACACGTAAGAATTCAGCTCTCATCAAAGAAATTAAACTAGACTGACCAATGCTGCACTTATTAAAATGAAGAGCCCTTGCTGTGCTAGGTGTAGACAAATAATCTGGCCGCGATGAGTCACGTAAGTTCGAGATCAACATGTATCGACAATTATTGTCTGTATTACCAGTAACATTTTGTTGACTGTTAGCATCATTAGCATCAAAGGAAATAACTTCTTCATCCGCAACTAATCTTGCAAGCTCATGAACCAAATCGTTCATCTGGAATAATACACCTCGAGGTTTGTTATACCTTGCAAACAGCTGAAAAGTGAAATTGTACCCATCTTAGTCAACTACCTTACCTCAGTTTAGCATCGATTAAATGGCATGATAGCATGTACGGATTATTATAGAAAACAAAGCTAAACAATAATTGAGAAAGAACTATACAAAGAAAAAGGTGCTCACTAGATCCTCCATTTGTTCCGGAATATAGGTCGTCCTAGTTTTGACCTAACTCCCAAGTCAAAATAAATGCAAAATAAAAAATTATTTAATGCTGAATTTAATGAAAATAATTTGACATAATATACATTGGTGCATTTTCATAACTTGGACATCCGATTTGTCCAAATTAGATCTATTTGAGTCGGTTTGGTTTGGTTAAGGACATGGTTTCGCTATCACATGGACTGGATCAATCTATTACTATGCCTTTTACCTTTATCCTCCTCTACCCTACTTTCCAATGCAGATCTGATGTTTATCTCTTGATATTTATGACCAGAGCTGGCACATGCTTGTTGACTAACCTAGGGCCCCTGGGCAAGGCACAAGCCTTTATATATGGAGTCTCTCGTGGGCGAGAGCTTTGATGGTGTTGATGGTCAAAAATTGACATAGTAGACATATTTAAGCTTAACAATTTTGTTTGGCAAAAGACATGGAGCTGTAGCGGCTATGAGCTTGGAGGCCATATTTTCTGGTGTTTGAAGGGCTCGGTCTATTATGCTGCAAATATTTTGTGAAGTCAAATACAGGTCCAGGAGTATCATGCTTGAGTATGTATGGATGAATGACAACCCAGGAGATGGAGAAGGCAGATGCTTTATTTGCGCAGCTTGAGTTTTGGTTATTAATATATGTTGCTGGCCAAAATAGGAGGCTTTGCATGCACGTGTCCTACTTTAGCGCGCTCATCGCCGGGAGCACACGGTGACATGTCCTACGTATTGCGCTCATCGCCGGGGGCACACGGTGACGTGTTCATGTGTGAACAGATGGTCTTTTCTACTTTTCTTCGTCTGTCACCACGAAAGTGCAATAGCTAGCATTTGCTTGTTTGCTAGTAAACTAGACGTCCATCACCTTGAAAGTGTGATAGTTGTCCCTCACTCCCTCCTGAGCAGATATCCTACCAGTGATTAGCTCGTGAAAACTAGAGAATTTCGTTCCAGAAAGGGAACAACTGGAATTTTGGAAACTAGAGTATCTGGTTTGAAACTGGAACTAACCTTGCGTTTTTTGGAAATGGTGGTTTTCCTATTGCATCATTTTTGGATTCTGACAAATGTCACTATGGGTTGCACATACAGTGCTTGGTGTGTACGACATGTTTCGTGTCAACAAGTTCATATATATATCGTTTCGTGTTGTTACTAGGTTCCTTTGATTTGGTCATTCAGTTGTTGTTCATTTTTCCATGGAGTAGAAAAGATGGATGTAGTTTTCCCCTCAAAGTAAACCATTTCATAACGTATTCCCCACGGATATTATAATCAAAGGTATGATCTTTGTTTTATTCAGTTCAAATGTCAATGCTTCCTACTCCTCCGATGCTAATCCTCTCCGCGTAGTCGAGAACGCCATGCTATGCTCCATGAGTCCGTGTAACACCCTAAAATTTGCTTATTTGGAAATAGAGCTAAAATGATTTAATTCGGAATTTTTGTGCTCATGAAACATAGGGAAATAATAATTTTTCATTCAATTAAAATTCATCATAGGGTTAGCAACCTTGTTGATGCATTCATGCTGGTTCATATGTTTTATTGTGATGCGTGGTTTTGATCTAAACCCAAAATGATTTCAAACTGCTTTTGAAATGATTTGAAAGTGCCTTGAAATAAAAGAATAGAAAATAAAAAGAAAAAGGAATTTCTTTCCCTCCCTCACTCTCCCTCTCTTTTGGCCCGCTCGGTTTTCCCCTCTTTGCAGGCCCAGCTCAACTCCCGGCCAGCAAGCCGCGTGGGCGCTCCCCTCATCTCTCTCTGTCTGGCTGACATCGTGGCCCCGCGCCCTATGTCACTGCCACTCTAGGCCCGCTTGTCAGCGGTGTCCTCCACCTCCAGCTCGTGCTCGAGCCGGACACCTCCCGATGGAATCTGCCGCCGCCTCTCCCGAATTCCTCGCATTTTGGCGTGCGCCCCACACCGAGCCCCCTTATATAAGCCAAGCGTCCGTGCCGCGTCGCCCTCATCTCAAACCCTAGCTCGTTCAGCCTCAATTCGAGCTCGCAGCGCCGCTGCAAGCCCTAACACGCTGCCGTCGAACTCGCCTCGCGATTCCGCCGCTTCAACGCAGCCGTAAGTACTTCGCCGAGCTTCGCGTAGGTCTTGAGAAGCCGCTAAGCCCACCGCTCCTTCTTTTGCTCGCGGTTCGTCGCTTATTGTTGCCGACGTGTGCAGGATCCTACCGCCGCCGTTTCGAGCCGCACGCTGCCCTCGTTCGATCTTTGTCGACGAATTCACCCTTGGTGAGTTCGCCTTGGTCCCCTCTATCTCCCCGTACTTTTCCGCATCGAATCGTGGCCGCGTAGGCCTTGATTCATGTGCGCCGGCGAGCTTTTCGCCACCGGCGATGGTGGACCGCCGCGCCCGGACCTGTTCCGGTCGGTTTCTCTGTCTCCCTTCCCATCTTCTAATCTGAACAGTCCAATTTAGATCCAATGGCTCAGAGTCAACCATACCCCTTCGCTGCTACTTTTTCTAAAGAGACCTTCTGTTTTATCTAAATATAACCCTAAGTCCCTGATCCCAATTAAAAATATGTTTTTATTTATTTTAATTCGAAATTAAGTTCGGTTTATTTACAAAACTGCCACTGACCTTGTTTTATGCACAAAATCTTCGTTTTAACTCTGTTTTGACCAGTTCAAGTTGCGTTAGATTCGTAACGACATGATCTACGTGTTTGTAACGTTGTTTAGCATGTTTTGTGCTTTCAAATAAAATATTAATCTGATCAATCTATATGCAATTAGTTTCCCATTAAACAATTTAGGTTTTCCACCTCCATCTTTTCTAAATAATAAAAAAAGATTAGTTTTATTTTGGTTTTTCAAATCAAATATAATTTGACCTAATTCAATCCAGCTATTTTTCTGAACTATCTTATACATGATTTATTTAAAAAAACAAAGCATATAGTTTTATTTTCATCTATCAAATAATCTTTCGGTGGTTGTTTCTTTTTCATCGTAACTCCGATTAGAGTGCTTTTCGTGTCTGTGTGCTCGTAGCAATGTGTAGATTAGCTTTCAAACCTTTTTATTGATTGATGTACTATTCTAATTTAGTCATATTTGTCTTTTATGAATGTCTGTTCGGATGCTTGTGTGGTGCTTTATGATATTGTCTAGTCGGTGAGCTTTACGTTGTGATCAAGAAGGAGTTCCTTTGAAGCTTTGGACTAGAAGATGGATCTAAGTTTAAGGCAAGTATAGCATGGGACCATCTTTGTTTTCCTATCAACTTTAATACACTTAATTCATATGAATGTGTCTCCTTGCTATAATTAAGGATTTCCTAGAACTGAACTTATACCTTGTCCCATATGGGATATGCATTGGGTAGCTATGCTAGTGCTCAACGGAACCATGATCGTGTAACTTGACTAATGGTATATGCAATAAACTCTAAAAGATGACTTTTTAGCAACTTTATAAAAGGGGGTTGGAGTATTTAGCTACATTCCAGATGCTCTAGATTCCTCTCCTTAAGGACTTATCTATAAGTGATCATCCGGGACTTACAGTACAACTATGAGGGCCACATGGCTCTAGATTTAGTCAAGTATAAGGACCTTTTCTAGCTTGTTAGTGGTTACCTTCATGGCGCAAAAGGGGCCCACTGAATCGGGTATAGTGCGACCTCTGTCTATATGTGTATTGCCTGCCTGGAATGTGCCATCTAGAAGGGGAGCTCTACATCTGTTTGCCAATTGAAATCCTAGCGGCCCTAACTTGTTAGACGTACCTTTGAAAGGCTTCATAGTGTACCCTGCCTACTCACTTTGGGAGTGTTTTGGGGACTTGCAAACCCCAGTCAAATGGGAATCACGACTCACAGCGAAAGTGTACAACCTCTGCATAGTGTAAAACTGTTATAACAGTCGTGCTCACGGTCAGGAGCGGTCTTGGAACCCTTATGGAATAGATGATCACTATTAATTGTTTGTTTTTGCTATACATTATTCATGTTTACATTGATCATGTGTTTATATTGGGTTTATGACAACTTGTTGCTACTCATATGCTAAAATTGTGACAACTAAAAGCTAAATGCAGTCAAATTCGTGTCAAGCTTTTGAGCCTCATGAACCCCATGTTATATTTGTTGAGTATGACATGTACTTATGCTTGCTTTAGTTTTCAATACTTTGGAAAATCCTAGATGGGTACTAGATTGCTAGTCTAGAGGAGTTAGGCTTGTGATCAACCAGTCAATTGTCTGTGTGGTGTTGGTGACTACACCCGAAGATCGAAGTTGTCCTACCGCAGCTTGCTGCCTAAGGTTATATCCTTTAAACAAAGTATGTTATATATTAGGCATTATGATATTACCCTTATTTGTAGCTATATGTGAGATTTGATTTCTGAGCTCACATATGGTGTGTATCTGGTTTTATCCTTAAAACCGGGTGCTACAAAGTGGTATCAGAGCAATGCAGACTATAGGACGTAAGCCTAGTTACAACTGGACGTTTAGCATGCTTTCATCTATGCTTACTTCTTGCTTCCCTCTCTGACCTTGTTATTTTCTAAAAGTTATGCTCACTTTGGTCCATGTTCTATTATAAACTTTGTCTCTATTCTAAATCCTCTCTCTTCGTCTAAATAGATGGATCATAATGAGGAGACCACCGGCATCAGAGGTCAGGAGGACCTAGCTACGTTGTCCTTGACTGAATTCAACAAGGAGAAGCTTTTAGCTATGCAAAAACAAGTATTAGAAGGAATGACTCAACATGGGAGTTCTCAACAATGCTTGCCACAAGGTCAAACCAATATACCAAAGGGACCAGTGAAGAGACAAGTAGTAGAAGCTTGGAAGGATATGAAATCCCCTGAAGGTGTTAGTGGTAAGGGGCTTAGAATTCAAGATCAATGTCGTTGTTGTAAGCATTATGGTTTTCCCTGTCTTCAAAACAAGTCCAATAAGGGGAAAGTCAAGGTGAATCCGAATTTTGAGGTCAATGTG